AGCAAGTTCATAAGACTGGTAAAAGTTTCTTCTGTTGTAAGTTGGTGAAGAATATTGGGTCCTGAGTTTTGACAATGTTCGTTTCTTGGCAGGGGATTTATCGCTTATGCCTGAAGTATCCGTTGATCTTGTGTGCAACCTTATGGAAGGTACTTAGCTTAGTTTTAGTTTCAAATCATCTATTTTTCGAAGGTTGATAGATTTCTCAATTGCATGTAAGAGAGAGTTACTCTCTCTAATATGATGCTGATGCGGTTTTCTGGTTGTGTATCAAAGATTCTAGGAAGCCGGTTGTTGCTGCAGTTGAAGGATTAGCTCTTGGTGGTGGTTTAGAACTGGCAATGGTGGGATTTTCTATTTTGTTTCATCTTGGGGTTTCTAATGTATCTTTTAGTATTCTCTTTTTCTTGTTGTGTTGATTTTTCTTTTGTCACTCAAATTTCTTTAGGCGTGTCATGCCCGAGTTGCTGCTCCGAAAGCTCAACTTGGCTTACCAGAACTAACACTTGGAGTTATTCCAGGTTTTGGAGGTACAAACTGTTTGTTCAGCTTGGTCTTCTTTTAAATAGTTATATGGTTATCAATGGATACCTTTCAATATTGCTTGGTAAATAATCAAGCTAATTGTATCTATGAAGGAACCCAACGTCTTCCAAGATTAATAGGCCTTGCAAAAGCTACTGATATGATACTGGTAGGGATGGTGTTTTTTCGCAGTTACCAACAGTTTCATTACCAAGTTTTCGAAAAGTTTGATTTGCTTGGCTGAAAAATTTGTTCAACTATATGCTGGTATTTTTAATAGCTTTCGAAGTCTATACCATCAGAGGAGGGGGAAAAACTGGGTCTCATTGATGCTTTAGTTCCGCCTGGAGATTTGTTGAGCACGTCTAGAAAGTGGGCTCTAGACATGGCTGCTGGACGTAAACCCTTTTTGCGCTCACTGCACAGGACCGACAAAATTGGTTCTTTATCTGAAGCTCGTGCTATATTGAAGAACTCAAGACAGCTAGCCAAGAAGATAGCCCCAAATATGCCACAGCACCATGCTTGCATTGAGGTGATTGAAGAAGGAATTATCCATGGAGGATATAGTGGGGTGCTTAAGGTAAAAGTTTCCTTGGATTTTGACCTGTACTGTACTTTTCACTTTTTCCTGAATTTTTCAATAACTCACATAAATCATTTACTGCTTGGTGTGCTATACACATCCTATTCTTTGTTAATTAGGAAAGCAAGAATGCTTTATTTCGCAGGAATGAACATTAATAACGTTGATGAATTGGGTAATTTCTTAGTTGTCTATGTACCTAAATTCCTTGACTCACTGTGCAGGAAGCAGAAGTTTTCAAGCAATTAGTATTGTCAGACACCGCAAAGGCTCTTGTTCATGTTTTCTTCGCACAACGGGCAACATCAAAAGTAAGATTGGCATACTTGGTGCCAAGCCTTCTAACTCTCTAAAATCTTTAGTTGCCTTGAATAGACATGCAGGAATTGACTAACATTAAAATGCACTGCGTTTTTTGCTCATAGTACTTCTAGTTTCCATATTCAACGTTCATCCCGAGCATCTTTGTAAACACTTTTCAGGTGCCTAATGTAACTGACGTTGGATTGAAACCGAGGCCGATGAAAAAAGTTGCAGTTATCGGTGGAGGTCTGATGGGTTCTGGCATTGCTACTGCTCTGCTTCTAAGCAATATAAGAGTTGTGCTCAAAGAAATCAATCCAGAATACCTTTCGAAGGGAATCAAATCAGTTGAAGGTCATTATCTTATCTAGAGTACTAGAACATATCCAGTTGCTATTTAATAAAAGTATCTATCCTGGTCAAACGAAAAAGCTGAACTGTTGTTGTTTCGATTCAATACGCTGAGCAGGCCCAGAATTAATTTTTCATGGAAATTGATTGGATTATAAAAACTTTCATTTCTATGGGTCTCTTAGATGAATTTTTGTATATGGGAGTATGCAGCCGTAAGAAGCATCCATAGCATATGATGGAAGAATGGATGATGTGGTTTATTACAATTCTTGTAACAATAGATGCAATAAAGTTTCTTTTTTCTTGTGATAGCAAATATGAAAGGCTTGGTATCTAGGGGAAAGCTGGCTCAAGATAAAGCAGGCAAAGCTCTCTCTTTGCTGAAGGGAGTACTCGATTACACGGAGTTCAAAGATGTGGACATGGTCATAGAGGTCTGCCTTCAATTTCAGTTAGCCCATTTGCTGTTATCTGTCCTTCTCTTTGGTTTTAAGTATATCCAAATCTAGTAAGTTCTAAGAGAAGTTCGATTAC